AAATCGCTTTTGCTTTCTTTTCCTCTGGCTACTAAGATGTTTCAGTTCTCCAGGTTGTCTCTTGTCTGCCCGTGGATTCAACAACAGTTTGAAAGGTTGACCTATTCAGGAATCCCCGAATCTATGCTTATTTTCAACTCCCCAAAGCATTTTGTTGCTTACTACGCTCCTCCTTGTCTCTGGGTGCCTAAGTATCCACCAAAAGCATTTCCCATTTGAACCTCGACCTTCACTGGAAAGATATGCCCCATCCTAAGATGTTGCTAGATGAAATGATCTTATCAACGTCAATGAATGAGAAATCGTAGTATAGATCAAACTTCTAAATCAGAAAAATTGGGTGCTATCATATAGCTTTGTATCGGCTAAGTTCATGAGTTGGAGATAAGCAGACTCGAACGGGTAACATCTGCCACAAGGTAAACCACCGCCTCTCAGGCCCCGACTAGTTTTACCATAGAGGCTGACGATAGACAATAACTCCCCCCCGAACACAGCTAACAACTTTCATTGTACTGTGCTCTCCAAAGAGCAACTCTTCTCAAAAGGTGCTAAGTTAAAATCTCATTCTAACTCAGGATTCTTGTGGTTTCGAAGGATCCAGCTACAGGAGAACCAGGAATAGGGAGCTTCCCCCCTTCCCTTTCCACCCGATTCTTTGGTCTTAAGAATGAGTGATTGCCCTTCTCCGACCCTTACTGTCCAATCTAAGAGTGTATAACTGATGTGTTTTGCTTTTTGGACAGGGTTATATGGTCGGTCCGCGACTCTTGGAACGAAGGCGTCCTTAGGGTGATCTCGTAGTTCCTACAAGGTGGAGACGATGGGGTTGGTCCATGGATTTTTTTCCTTTTGCCGCATTTTGCTCAAAGGGTTGAAGGGAGATAGTGCGCAAAGGCCAGCTTGATCATCTTCTCCAGGATCCCAAATAAGGAAACCTTAGGAGAACCACTGACTCTTGCTACCGTCCATGTACGATCCATACTAGACCTGACCAACTGTCCATCCTACCTCCTCTACGTTCTTGATAGCCCATCTCTCTCTCAGTAGAGTCTTTCAGTGGCATGTTTCGGTCATGTTTTCCATTACATAGAAAAAGTGAGCCACAAGTTTAAGTACAAGATACTATCATTACCGCCTAGACAATTAGACATCCAACCCGTAATCGCAACAACCCAATTGCAAGAGCAGAGCTCTACCAACTTAGCTATATCCCCTGAGTCAAGTGGAGCATGCATGAAAGAGTCAAGTCAGTCTTCTATTCTTTTCCTTGGCGTAGCTGGGCCATCCTGGACTTGAACCAGAGACCTCGCCCGTGAAATAAATCATCGCACCTACGGTCCAACCAATTGGGAGAGAATCAATAGATTCTTTTGCGGGAGCGATTCATCCTTCCCGAACGCAGCATATAACTATCCGTTGTACAGCACTCTCTAAGTGTACTTATTCCCCCTTCTTCCTTACCATGGCAAGTCTTTGTGAAATAACTCCGACAAAAAGAAAAAAGAAGGTGTTAATAGACCCTCCTAGCCCAACCCTAGACACTCTAAGATCCTTTTTCAAACCAGCTCTCATTTCCAGTCAAGAGATAGATAAATAGACACTTCTCATTGCACTGATCAGGGGTGTTCATAGTGACTGAGGGGGTCGAAGACCAAGAAGTCGGATATTTATCAGTCAAGCGTAAAATAATTTCACGCTCTTCCTTTCGGGTAAGAAGGATTAGGAAAAAGCTATTGATTGCAATTTTCTCCAGACCCCCGGGAAAAGCATGAAAAAAAAAGACTCGAATGGTACGATCCCGCCGTCATCCCAGAATGATAGGGGCGACCTCGTAGTTCTTGGTCTGTGAAGATACATTGTTAGGTGCTCCATTTTTTTCCATTGAGGTCGAACCTAAACATGTGCTCAAGAAATAGTTGTCCATATACTGATAAGGGATGTATGAATCTTCGAGAAAAGAGGAGCTGTGGTGGTCCCCCCCGGCCTGCCCAGATCCCACGAGTGAATAGAGAGTTAGATCTATATTGGATCTCACCTAAATAGCCACAACTATCCTTCTAAGGAGAAGTTTGGTTTCAAACCTCGATTCGAATAGAAGAAATACGCCATGCTAATGTGCCTTGGATGATCTACATCTCAGGGTCAGGCACCGATGAGCACATTGAACTATCCATGTGGCCCTCACAGTCCAGTAACAACGACGCAATTATCAGGGGTGCGCTCTACCACTAAGCTAATAGCCCAAGTGCAGGCCTCCAACCGGGGCTCGCTATGCAAAAAGCGAGAGAAACTCCATCCCTCTCTTTCCTTTTTTTCGCCCCCATGTCACTACACTGGAGAGAAAAAAGGAGCTCTTATCAACTTGTTCCGACCTAGGATAATAAGCTCGTGAGCTTAGTCTTCACCGTCGAGAAACGAAAGAAGACTTTCATCTCCAACTTTTACTCAGACATAGTCCGCTTCTTTTTGGGTGTGAAGCAATGTCAAACCAAACTACCCAACAAGCATAAGCTCTCCCTAAAAAGGAGGTGATCCAACCGCACCTTCCAGTACGACTACCTTGTTATGACTTCACTCCAGTCACTAGCCTTTCCTTCGGCATCCCCCTCCTTGCGGTTAAGGTAACGACTTCGGGCATGGCCAGCTCCCATAGTGTCACGGGTGGTGTGTACATGGCTCGGGAACAAATTCACCGCAGTATGGCTGATTGGCGATTACTAGCGATTCCGGCTTAATGCAGACAAGTTGCAGCCTACAATCCAAACTGATGACGGGTTTTTGGAGTTAGCTCCCCTCGCGGGATCTTATTCCTTTGTCCCGGTCATTGTAGACATGTGTTGCCTAGGGCATAAAGGGCATGATGAGTTGATGTCATCCTCACCTTCCTCCAACTTATCACCGGCAGTTTGCTCAGGGTTCCAAACTCAACGTTGGCAACTAAACATAAGGGTTGTGCTCATTGCAGACTTAACCCAACACCTTATGACACGAGCTGACGATAGCCATTCACCACCTGTGTCCGCATTCCCGAAGGCACCCCTCTCTTTCAAGAGGATTCACGGCATGTCAAGCCTGTAAACTTGAACATTCTGGTCCAAGCCTTTAACAAGAAGGACTTCCCTAACACGGCAATCCCAAATTTTTACCATATTTTATGTCACTTGCAAACTTAAAATGTGTGGAAAAAAATGTTTCCTAAACCTTTTGAAAAGAAAAGAGCATAGAAAAACTCATTTGCCTAGTTCTGGATTGTCCGCTAAAATCCTGACACAGCTTTTCCACCAAATCAAAGCTAGGCAATGATCATTGCTGAAAAAAAAAAAGATTATACTAGTCCCTACTACAGCAAATGTCTACAACCAATACGTATTAAATTAGCCTCTACTATGGACAGGTCAAGAAAGGATCAAATTCCTTATCTGGAAGATGCATCATGAGAGACTGCTCACTAAAGACAGAATTGCGAAATGGAGCAACTCTTCTGATAGATGTAAATTTTGCCCAGACGAAGTGGAAAACAGTTTACATGTTTTTAGAGACTACTCTAAAGCAAAGAACATTTGGTGTCTCCTATCTTGCAACCCCTTCCTGCTGGTTTCTTTATTGTTAATCAAAGAAACATTTGGTTTCTGGATTGGATGATTTTGAATACAAAGCTGGTTGAATTTCGAGCAATTGACGGGAGAGACTATTTTTTTATGGTATGTAATCTCCTTTGGAGTTGGAGAAATAAGGACCTGCATGAAGAGGGATTTAGTAGACCTGACAATCCCACCATCCTAATTTCTAATAATTTGGAGGAGTTGAAAGTTGTCAGGTTGAAAAAAGAGCAAATGATCATTAGAAATTCATACATCAAATTAAATGTAGATGGAGCTGTAGTTGGTGCAATGGCTGCTTGTGGAGGCATCCTTAGAGATTCCAATGGAGTTTGGGTTGGGGGTTTCTCTAGCTTCCTCAGCTCTTGTTCTCCCCTGCAAGCAGAATTATGGGTTGTGTTCCACGGTTTATCAGTTGCTTGGAACCAGAGATGGAGAAAAATTGAAGTGGAGACTGATTCTATTCAAGCTTTAAGCCTTCTTACCATTTCTGGTATTGACTCTCGAGAGCTCCCGTTGGTAGCTAAGATTCGAGATTTTTTAGTTAAAGACTGGTGTTGTTCTCTTTCTCATGTGCCAAGAGATAACAACAGGTGTGCGGATTGGCTTGCAAAAGAAGTTATTAACAGAAGTTTTGGCCTTAATTTGTTCTTCTCTCCCCACTTGGAGTTAGTTAACCTTCTCACTGCTGATACTCTTGACCCTGGAGAAGAGTTTGTTGCTATTTCTTCCGGAGTTGTGACTGTTTTTTCTGCATAAGTTTTTCTTTCCGTTCAGTTTTCCTTCTGTTTTTTCCTTGGGACTCAGCCCCTTATTGTACCCAAAAAAAAATATATATATTAGCCTCTACTGTATCCCACTATATTATTGACTGTTTTTTCTTTTTATAAATAATGGATGGACTAACAAGTCCATCAATTAAATGCATTAACTGTTTAAACTGGAAAAATGAACAAAACTAAAACAATTTTTAAATTGGTCACTAAAATAAAGATTTGTTAATAGAATTACATACTTGTTCAATGGGTTTGGAGAGCAATCTCTGCAAAAACACCGTGAAACTAAAATATCAATAAAAAGTTTTCAAAAAGAAAAATAGTTTCTATCAAGGCGTAAATTAGAATAATTTCATTAGGATCTTGTTCAAATGTAGACAAGATTAAGTTAATTGCAAAACCAACAAAAAAAAAATAACTGTAACAAAACAATAAAAATCAGAATAGCTCAAGATTAGTTATAAGCTGTGCTGCAGCAAACGTAGTGATGATCATGGTTGGCTAAAACTAAGCTTTCAAAACCCAACTTCAGCCACACCCTGACTCATCAAATGCCACCAACTAAAGTCTCAAAATTCCATATCCAGTTATGATGTCAAGATAAAAATTTAGTAATGCAAGAGACAGAAATATCGCTAAAAAAGAGCATGTTGAATGCGTGGAAAACATATGCAGGAACTTAAAAACCTAGAACCTGAACAACCAAAATGAGAAAAAGTAATATTTCAGACAAACCAGAGTGCTAACTCAATTAATAGACATGAGTTCACCAAATAACACCTAAGAGGGTAATTTCTTTAAATTGAGCATTCTCTTCATATAGCTAAGGGAGCAGAATCTCGAGGGGGGGGATTACAAAATTGGCATCTCAAGGTCATTATTTCTTGTCTTCCTTTTCTGCTTCAGCAGCCCTCTTTAGTCGGGCACCAAAATGGCGTTGGTTTGTGCGTTCAAGACGAAGCTTATAATAAGCTTTAAATGCCTTCATTTCATCTGTAACCTTAACAAGATCAACAGATGGCTTTTCCCTCACAATGGGCAAGTATGAACCCTGAACTTGTGTGGCATTTGCAAGTTCCTCAGGACCAGAATCCCCAGCCTGCAAAAGAAATAGGTCCGTACAAATCTCAAACTTGATATTGCTTCTTCCTTTCACAGGAATGATGATAATAAAACAAATAAAAAGCCCTCACAACCATCAAACTAAGATTCGAAGATTTAAAATTACCTTGATCTTGCGTGCCTGTCTTGGGAACACAACCAACTTGGCCTTGTACGTTTTCAGCCTCTGCACATTTTCTTGGAGACGTTCTAACGAACGATTCTTCCGGCGGTGATCTATAGCAATGCCAATAGTTGGAGCAAGTTTGTTGGGAATACCAGCAGCCTATGATATATAAAAAAAGAAATATGTCAGGAAGAAAAGGTAAAAGCATAGTTATCAAATGCGGATTGCGGCATGTCGCGGCCAATCCCGAAAAACACTATAGCGTTATAGCGGGTTGCGGTTGCGGAAATAAAGAAATAGATATATGATAGAAATAATGACAAAAAGACACATTTTTTAAGGGCAGAGATAGTATAAGTGACAAAGAGAGACGCCGATAAACTAAAAAACCCTTAAATTTTTTCTGTTACACATTTAAATTTAGGACAAAATTGATATTTTGCCTTATGATAGCAATATGGCCACAAATGCGATCGCAATAGCCGCTATTGCATTCTGGCGCAGTGCGGCGCGGTTTCTTGCGACGAGGAACCGCAACGCCTATACGGCGCGGCTCGCGACGCTATTGCGGCGCAATTAACTACTATGGGTAAAAGCATAAATTCTGATGTTTATACATGGTTTTCTTCATTAATCACTGGCCAAAATATTTTTTTTGGCCTTTTTCTACATGAATCACATAAACTTAACTGAAAACAAAGGTAAGCAATTAGAATTTATCCAGAAATCTAAACTTCACATGGAATAACTGGCCATTAATGTGTTAAGTGGAGTACGATCAATTAATCAAAGATGCATTAAGGTCTCACATAGCAAAACAGCTAAAGGACATAATGCAGGGGTCTTCCTCTTTGTTAGTTTCAGAGATTCGTGTAGCAGTCATAGCACGACAAGTACAACCAGCTATAAATGTCAAATCCATTGGTAATACGGAATTTTAAATAAAAAATGGGCCTGTGCAGTACAAGGTAGACCAAAAAATAGGTCTGTGCTATATCCACGCATCAAGCTCAAAGGGCTCTTGCATGAGGGTGTGTTAGAGAGATACAAAGTAATTAATATATCCTTACCCAATGCCTTAAGGTTTTGGGTTGAAGTGGCACTTATCATGCTAAGAAACTCCACAATATTTAATTATTAGAATGGGGGGCACTGAGGATCGAAACCGTGACATGAGGTTCTGATACCATGTTAAGCGTCAATTCAACCCAAAAGCTTAACCTTTTAGGTTGAAATGGTTCTTTACATGGTATTAAAGCCGACATGACTAAGTGGTCAAGACTCAAGAGTTCAATCCTCACTGCCACCGTTTAATTAATAATTAAATAAGTATTGTGGAGTTTTTTAGCACAAATAGGTGAGTCTGTGCACTGTTCACCCTTCAAGCCAAGTGAGCTCTAGTGTGAGGGGGCGTGTTAGAGATATATAAAACCATTAAATGTAACTCACCTAACAGCTTAAGCTTTTGAGTTGAAATAATTTTTTATATGGTATCAGAGTTTTAGTGACCACGAAGGTCACACGTTCGATCCTCACCGCCTCCACTTTCAGGTGGAATTAAGAAAAAACACAAAGTAAACCAAAAAAATTGGGCTTGTGTCATATCCACGCTTTAAGCCCAAAAGACTCTTGCATGAGAGGATGTGTTATAGAATAACATAAACTATTAAAAGAGTCCTCACCCAGCAGCTTAAGCTTTTGGGTTGAATTGGTTCTTTACAGATAACTTCAATACCACCCCACCAATCAAGGATCTATCGTGAGTCATAACTGAAAACAGATGCTTTTGGATGAGTGGGGACAGAATAAGTCATTTTACCTTAAGTTCTTCAAGAGAAAACCCTCTCCCAGCTCTGACTTTCATGTTGTATTTCAAAGTCTGACCGTGAACAATAGGTCTAAAAGGTCCAGCTGTAGGCCTAGGAAAAATCTTAACAGCCTTCTTCTGCCGAGCTGAAGAATGCAACCACATTTCAATAAATAAAAATTGAATAATGCAATGATCAATATTAACTCAAACTGATTCTTTATTCTTGAATAACAAGTACTAGCCTAAACTAACTAATAAATTATTACCTCAAAGTTAAAAAAGATCAAGAATATAGATAAAAAATACCTAGCCGTCTTCTTGTCTTCCGTGCTGGTTGATTGAACCAAGTCTTAACATAATTTTGCCAATGCTTACGAAAGTGCCCATTAGGGATCACATTGTTATGCTTAACCATGGCTTACCTACGGACAACAATAATAGCAATAAAAGAACAAGAAAAATAAAAATAATTGATCAGCATTAGATAATATAAACAAGAAGAATCACATACAAAACCCAAAATACTACACTATGCCGATCTAGCTAAATCAATCCTTATTTGATACTCTATAAGGAAAACAATGCTAGAATGATACCAAAACAAAAGATTCAGCAGTTTGGTGGTTATTAAAACCAAGAGGAATTTATCCAGTATCATAGAGGTGGCAAAGCGGGCACCCCGCCCCACCATCAACCCCCCCAAACAATAAGACAACCCGCCCAGCACTGCTTTTGAAAGTGGGTTGAAAAACTCGACCCACCCCACCTCGCCCCGTCAGGGCCGCCATTTTGCATTAAAAAAAAGGGGGGGTTAGGCGGATTGTAAAACTCGGCTCATCAAGCCAAACCCGTTTTGCCAGCCCTATCAACCATAGACCATCATCATCATTGTTATAAGTTTTTGGATAGAAATAGACGACCATCTTTTTATGTAACACTTACCAACTAAAGCACAAAACAAATAAATCAGTTTATATATTGAATCCATTGAAAAAAAAAAAAAGTTGTTTCACATTTTTCATCTCACTAATGAGGGAATAGTTGTGTTAAATATAAATCAACAAGTTTCTTAATAACATTATTCTAAGAATATGGTTATCCCTACAACTCAAAAGGCTTATCCCAAAGAAACAGGTATATATCTTCATGTGTTATTATAAAATATGCGCAATGGCCTCGCAGCACCATTCTTTCGAAATACTACAATGATTGAGCTCATATATTTGATACAAATATTTCATGAACTTAACCATATTTTAAATGTTTAACACAAAACAAAATAAACAAATAAAATGGAATAAAACTAAATTTTTAAAACTACACATCACCATGGAATGCAAGAGCATATATAGTCCCCTAGCTTTTCGTCTGTTATCTAAGAATGCAGCATAGCTCATCAATAATACAAATTACACAATCCCGAGTCCCACATCTTTCAAAACCAAAAGAAACACAAAAGTCGCAAACAGTTATAATTCAACCTCCAAAACAAGCCCAAACACTATGATACTTTGTGAATCGAAACGAAAGAGAACCAAGTCGAGCACGTAACAATTGGCAGAAATATGAAACCCAAAACAGAAGAAAAGAGAAAAGTGATGCAAATTAAGAAGAAGAAGAAAGGCTTAAAGTGTTAAATTACCTGAGGATCCTTTCTTCACTTCACACGCCTAAGGAGCTCGTTGCACCAAGAGAGAGGAACGCTCAGCAAGGTTAATGCTAGGTTTTAAAAGGTTCAACCCGGCCCGTTTAAATTTTAACCCAATAACATTTAAACAGAATTACAAAAATTATACATATATTTTCTTAGGAATAAGAATTAAAAAAAAAAATAGGAAAGGAAACAGTAGCCTTTATTTTATTTTATTTTTGAGTTATCCAACCCTAATTATCTCTTTAAGACGAGTTGGCTCCCTCCGGTATCCCCACGAGCTTCGACTCTTTGGGCCGGCTATGGGACTAATCCGGAGTGCGGGGGAACCGTGATGGCTAAAGGTTCAGCCCCCTCCCCAAGAATGCATTCAGCGGGAATCGAACACATATCCAACCCCACTAACTCAGCGTCAAATTACCAACTGAGCTGCACCCATTGGGTAACAGTAGCCTTTATTCTTCTACTTTACTTTTATAATAACTTTTTGACCTTTTTTTATGTTCAATTAATGGCATGTAGAATAAAACAAAATGAAAGATGATGGAATAAAATAAATTATGATATCATTATTTAAATATATTATGATATAATAGAGAAAAAATGATAAATTATTTTTGAAATGAGCAAAATAATAAAAAAGATTATTAAACAATAATTAATTTTATTTTGTTACTTCAAGGTAGGATAAAAAAGATAAAAAGAATAAGTAAAAATGAAATAAACTTTATTATAATCTAATCCAAATTTAAATGATTTCGAGAGGAGTCTATGACTGTATGTTAACTAAGGTTTAAGGACAAAAATATTTTTGCAGTTACTTACTGAATATAAGTTATCTGTATTTACTCTCAAAATAATGTCGTTTTGAAATTGATAGATTAAAAAATTATAATTATAAAGACTGTAATAACCTAGAATAAATTAAAATTACAAAAACACCATGATTTTCGCTCTAAAACGATGTCGTATTAGGCTTACTACAGATAACTTATTATATGCAATAACTGTAGAAAAAGTGAACCCTTAATCTTATATATTTTTTTTGATAAATATCTAATATGGGGAAGGATATTGTGACAACCAAGTTGTGTTACTACCAAGTGACTACCTATTAATCTCACCGTTAGATCGATTATGTTGATCCAACAGTTATATTTATTTTCATCTTTGTATTGTTATGATTTCCCATATTTAAAGTGAAAATATTAAATATGAAAAATCATAACCATACAAAGGTGAAAATAAATATAAAGTATTAAATTTGGAAAACCATGACCATACAAAGAAGGAAATAAATATAACCGTTGGATCAACATAATCGATCTAACGGTGAGATTAATTGGTAGTCACTTGATAGTAACACAAATTGATTGTCACAATATCCTTCCCCATCTAATATATTTAATAAAATAGAATAGAATCGAGGCTAAAAGAAATTTGTTTCCAAAATAAATCATAAATTTATTTTTACAAGACCTAACCTATAAACATATAGATTGGCCTATATGCTATTATTTATTCTAATTAAAATAAAAATAAAATAATTATTCAAAAAAATCAAATCAATATAAAATATTATTTTATATATATAAAGAAATTTAGATTTGACTTTTTATTTTTTAAATATAGACATGTATGTTATTTAGCCTATACCAAATTAATTTACCAAAACATACTCAAAATATTTTTTATAAATTCAAACTATTCAAATATAAACCTAAGCTTGTGCGGTCTGTTTACACCTTAATTTCTTGGGAAATAGATACTCTCATATTAAATAAAATATGACATATGATCATGTAGAAGAATCATAGCCATTATATAAAAATAGATCAATGATAATAAGAAAAATAAAATAATATAAATAACAGAAGAAAAAATTCTGCAATTATTGCAAATAAGTTATCTGTATTTACTCTCAAAATGACGTCGTTTTGAGATTGAAAGATATAAAAATTATAATTATAAAGACTATAATAATCCTGAAATAAATTAAAATTACAAAAATATCATGATTTTCGTCCCATGGACATACAATAGATAAGTTATAAGTAATTGAAAAAAAGCAAACTCAATAAATAATTATATATTATTACTGTTAATTTTCTTTATATGATTGTGATTGCCATGTGTTTTATTTAAGATCAAGAGAATCCATTTCCAATTTCTTGCAATATAATTATATTACAATTCCCTCCAAATCGTTCGTTTGCATATATCCAAATAGAGAAAAGTGTTTCTCATTTTAAATGACATAATACTCCGTTCTTTTAAGAGATAAATAGATATAGAAAAAAATATTTAAATTTTAAATTAAAAAAAACCACACGCTTTCTCTCTCTCATAATTTCTATTTTTTTGTGTCTGTCTCTTTCTTAAAATGACATAAGTTACGTGTCTTTGATATAACTTATAAAATGACAAAGACTAAACCCATCCAAATATAGCCTTCTTTGTTTTCTTGCCCTGAGGTTCTGCCACCTTTCCCTCTTTGTTGAATTCCACAATGGAATCGACTACTTCCTCAAAGGATATGGATATCTTTCGTGTTTTGTTCTTTCATCATCATCTTGTGCCTCTTATCCCTTTTTCTTCTCTTGCTCTCTCTCTCTGTGTGTGTGTTTTTGTGTGTGTGTGTTTTGGTTCTCTTTGATCAATTCAATTGATATATCTCATCTCTGCTAAGGATAGAAAATGATCAATTTCTGTTATTCAAGTCCCTTCATTTTCAGATATTGAGAATAAATGGATGATATTTTTCAAGTAAATTTGTCAAAGCATCTTTTCTGAGTTGTTAGTTGATTGGCATTAAAGTTTCTGATACCTTGGGATTGTGTTTGGATTTGATATTTTGATTTTATATATCTGTAATGAAGAATCCCTTTTGCTGGGTTTCAGAAATTGAGGGTTGCAGCTAATAATAAATAAGTAAGGTTCTGAAAGCCATGGGGGCGTTGAATGGTGCTGAGTATGTGACCATTGATGAGTTACCTAACCCAAGGGATAACCATAGGATGAAAGTTTCTGTTCTTCCTCTGGTATTTCTTATCTTCTATGAGGTTTCTGGGGGACCCTTTGGTGTTGAGGATACTGTGAAAGCAGCACGTCCCCTATTAACCCTTATGGGGTTCCTGGTTTTTCCATTCATATGGAGTGTTCCTGAGGCTTTGATTACTGCAGAAATGGGTACCATGTTCCCTGAGAACAGTGGTTATGTGGTTTGGGTTTCATCTGCTTTGGGTCCTTATTGGGGATTTCAGCAAGGTTGGATGAAATGGCTAAGTGGGGTGATTGATAATGCTTTGTACCCAGTTCTATTTCTTGATTATCTGAAATCAGGAATCCCTGCATTAGGTGGTGGAGTACCAAGAGTTGTTTCAACTTGGTGTTTAACTCTAGTTCTCACTTACTTGAACTATAGGGGTTTAGCTATTGTGGGATGGGTTGCTGTTCTTTTAGGGGTTTTCTCACTCCTTCCTTTTGTGGTTATGGGACTCTTGTCAATTCCGGACTTGAATGCATCAAGATGGTATGTGACAAATCTAGATGATGTTGATTGGAATTTGTATTTAAATACTCTATTTTGGAATCTTAATTACTGGGACTCCATAAGTACTCTTGCTGGAGAAGTGGAAAATCCAAAGAAAACTCTTCCCAAGGCTCTCTTTTATGCTTTAATCCTAGTAGTTTTAGGATACTTCTTCCCTCTGCTAATTGGCACAGGTGTTGTTCCCCTCAATAGGGAGTTATGGACTGATGGATACTTCTCAGATATTGCTAAGATTGTTGGAGGAGTGTGGTTGAGATGGTGGCTTCAAGCTGCTGCAGCAATGTCAAACATGGGAATGTTTGTTACTGAAATGAGCAGTGACTCATTTCAACTTCTAGGCAAGGCTGAGAGGGGAATGTTACCTGAGTTCTTTGGCAAGAGGTCTTGCTATGGAACACCTCTTATAGGAATACTCTTTTCAGCCTCTGGTGTGATTTTACTGTCATGGTTGAGCTTTCAAGAAATAGTAGCTGCAGAGAATTTCTTGTATTGTTTTGGAATGATTTTGGAGTTTATTGCATTCATATTGTTGAGGATCAAACAACCCACTGCATCTAGGCCTTACAAGATACCAGGGGGAACAGTTGGAGCAATTCTTATGTGCATTCCTCCAACAATATTGATTTGTGTTGTATTGGCTTTCTCCTCCTTGAAAGTAATGGTTATAAGCCTCATTGCTGTGGTGATTGGCCTTGTAATGCAACCTTGTCTTAAATTTATGGAGGAAAAGAGATGGATAAAGTTCTCAGTTAGTTCTGAGCTCCCAGATCTTGACAATGAGGAAAGTATTCACACTTTGATGGATTAAATTGATCCTTTTTGAAGAGACTTGTTGAGAGAAAATTACACACTCTATGTACATGGCTGCACCAACCGGGATGAGAAGGGTCCTAAAGCATTTTTTCTCAAGTTACAACGTCTCTGAACACTAAAACCATTCGAGATCAACTTTGTATCCTATCTGCATTTCACATTTTTGCCGTCTACAACATATATAACATATTGTCAAAATAAACTGTTCATCAGTGTTTTTAGTTTTGTTTATAGATAGGATATTAATTAAGCTGAGTTTTAGAATGTTTTAAGAAATGAATTTATAGGATTTCTCAGTATCCATTTTTCTTTTCTAAATTATAAAATTTGGAAATTCATAATCTAATTGTGCTCTGCTACTCAATTGAGCTTCCTGCGTGAAAATACCTCAACGACACTAGTCCTGCACAAAAACTTGACGTTATCTCCAATTATGATAGACCTTGTTAATTTTTGAACAGTATTGATGTCATTCTTGGAATGAATTAGTTGTGTTATCTTAGACAGTTGCAGCAAAAGATCGTTTCTTATTCGATTAGGTTCTGCAAATACAATTGACTCCACGTTTATCTTTATCATCTAGCTAAACAAATGTTAGAGGGAGCTCAGTGATATTTTCAGCTAAAATATTTTGAACTTAAGTTAGGCAAGAACTAGCTACTATCGCTATAGTCACATTATTCTGAATTCCCTCCTTAGGAGAATCTCAAATCATGATTTACAAATCAAAATCTTGAACACGTATTATATCATGCAGTAAACAGAACCAGTAATCTCAAGACCTGATTAATAGGATAGTGTTTATATGCCATATCACTTGAATAAAAAAGAAAAAAATATTAAAGTTATTGAAGACAAATTGTGAAATTAACAATCATAAAAGGTGTTAAAAGATGTAAGGTGGAATTAGTAGACAAACAGCATGAAAGAGCTGTTCATCTGTGGATTCATCTCAGCAGTTGTCTGGCTGCCTGCTGACTAATCAGCTCTTAATTTATGCACCCATAGCTCAAGGTCGCTCTATACATAATCAGAGAGACCTACGATATATAATGTGCAATGCATCTTAACAATAACTCAACATTCTCCAAACTCCATCAAACTTAAAAAAGAAAACAAAATTTCAAAAAATAAAATAAAAGCATCACATGAAACACATAAAAGAAGAAGAAGGATTCGAGTTCAGCGAAAGACAAACAGAGGATTGGTTTTCGAATCGGAAACCGAAGTGAAAAGGTTTCACAAAGCGTGAAATGTTAAAGGAACCAAAAAATGTTAGTGAGATTTTGGTGAGTGAATCTCAGGTGCTGCCTATGGAGTATAGACTGGTTGAGAACAATTTAGAACAACGCCACTGCAAGGGGCGTATTCCAAATTCAGTTGTTGCTGCTGCAGCTAGGGTTTGGGGATGATGGTTCAGATTTGAGAATATATAGCAGCGGCACCGTTAGTTTACAGTTCACTATTTATTTATTTATTTAGTTTTTACAAACCCTAGTTATCATTGGGCTCTCTCGCGTGCTTTTCAATATCAAATGCGGTCAGGAGCTTATAAATAAAAAAGGCCGCTATTAACTTCCAAGGTAACTTGGTAACTTAACTCTTTTCTTGGGTTAGGAGTTTAAATCCTATTTCACGTGAATTCTTGAAAAATATTTGAAGTCAAAGAAGGTATCTTTCTCTTTGAACAAGGGATTAGTTTCCTCCTTCCTTCAGTGGTGAAGTTTAATGTACCGGCTGTTCCAATGAGGGATAGCCTTCGTAGCTGTACTCCGAGCAAGATTTCATCTTTTCTTCGGTGGCGAAACTCAATGCACTTGTTGTTCCAATGAGGGAATAGTTTTCGAGGGCATACTCTGAAGACAAGGTGATAGGAGGAGGTTGAATGGGGATACCTCTAAGTAATACAAAAAAAAGGGAAAAGTTCACCAATGCCCCTGTGGTTTGCTTCAGTATCATCCATGCCCCTGTGATTTTTTTTATCACATATGCCCCTGTGCTTTGTAAAAAATAAAAAACCACAGGGGCATATGTGATAAAAAAAACATACCCTTTTGCAAACCACATGGGCATATGTGATAGAAAAAAAATCACAGGGGCATAGGTGATTCTGAAGCCACATAGGCATTGGTGAACTTTTCCCAAAAAAAAGCTAACATTTAGGGCTTTTGCCCCTCATTACTTATTTAATAACTATTTTGCCCCTTATTCAGAACTATCTACTAATCTGCCCTTCTTTAATCGATTAAGCCAAAAATTTAATCGATTAAATGGTCAAAATGGTCAAAAATCATTGACTTGAAGATTTAGTCGATTAAATCTCCCTATTTAATCGATTAAATATCTCATGCATAAGGTTGTTCTTAGAAAAAGAGGAAGATTTAATCGATTAAGTTGAAGATTTAATCGATCAAATCTTCATTTGACCATTTAATCGATTAAATATTCAATTTAATCGATTAAAAAGGGGCAGATTGGTAGATAGTTTGCAATAAAGGACAAAATGGTTATTAAATAATTAATGAGGGGCAAAAGGGTGAAAAAGCCTAGCATTTAGAGCAATTGAAAATCAAGGACGAAATGAGATATTAAACTAATTTTGATGAGATATATTTTCTAATGTTGCATGACTCTTGTACAACGTACAAAAAAGTGAATGAGATCTATTTATTTCTTTCTTTCTTTTCTCCTCGGTGGGTCTCACCTATTCTTTTTATGTTACATCCGACAAATTGTCTAATGCAACATGAGAAATTATATCCCCAATTTTTATATTTAAAATAGTTTACAATAACAAATTTAATGATAGAACATTTGAAAAAAAAAAGATAAACTAACCATGCTCTGAGTTAACGAAATTAATATATTTTATGAAATATTTTATTTTTTTAATTAATTTATAACCTACAGTGGATCTAAAATTGCCAAGACCACAATGTTTCACTAATATGGCAAAAGTGAGTGAGAGTCGGAATTTGTGATTCATTATGGATCAAGTCTAATAAGTAAAGTTGCCTTGGTTCTCAAATTTAAAAGGGATCATTTTCTTGTTGCTAACACCCATCAAAGTTAGAAAAGCTCGAATAAAACTAGCACAGTGTAACACCCCGTGTATACCCGGTTTGTTAACATGTTATTGTATTAAGTCACGCTTAATTAAAAATGCGGAATATCTTTTTCTTTTCAATTATGACGTCATTTTCATTACCAAGTTGAATTACTTAATTCATTTCCCAAACATTGCCTGTATGTAAATTGCAAAAGACAGCTATCTACACTGAATAACCTTATATATATATATATATATATATATATATATATGTAAATCATTATCTGTGTCTCTAGTCACGGCACTACAACATGTAGGTCGGACAAACCCTGATAGTTTATACAACTCAAGTCTAAACAACGATACATAATCAAATGTGGCATTGACAATCCCCATGCTCACCAAATAAGGCAACAAAGCCCAACAATAGTCTCAATAATAACAACATAATCATCAAGATAACATAACAGCATCCAGCATACAATCATAACAGCAAACGTCTAACTCAGCTCCGGCCTCCTTTCGCCCGAGGTCTCAACCCTTGGGTTACCTGAACCTGAAATATCTGTCCCAAACGTGGAGTGAGATCTCTAAACAGAAATCTCAGTAAGACAAGGGGTCCTCAAGGATCTTCCACCCCAAGCTCACTTACATGTGCAATATAAGTTCCAAAAGCAGTTTAACAGTATAAGTTCCAAAATTAGTGCAATGCAGCAGATAATCATGTCATGTGTGTTATAACTAATCTACTAGCCAGAGAAATGCAGGAATACGTCTATTACCCACACTAGTACAAGACGCCACTTGCACCCACCTACAGTGTCACCATCTTGTATGACGCCACATACTCTGGCTTACCGTCTAAGTGGAACAACACATACATATTATAAGCACTTGCACATAAAGTTCAACAACGTTTTCAATTATTAAAGCATGTAAACACATCATGCATATAAACCATTCCCTCATAGGGTATGGTGGAACCACACAATTGCTAAAACGAGGACACGAAAACTTACCTTGCAGGCTAGCTATCCAAGACAAGAGTCCACACAAGCTCAAAGCCCAAACACAGCAGAATCACAATCTGTTTTGGACCAGCAATCATATCAACAACCATAGCTCATAAGCATATAACATAAAGACAACGCTTCTCTTTTACGTTTCATGTCTTAAGGCTTCTCACAAAGCCACAAGCTCTTAATCACTTGATTCTAACTTAGATAAGTTATTACAGAAGTCCCACTTCATCAATCTAGGGTCCACAAACCCATAACAGCCTTCTGTATGAATAGTACAGTTACTGTTCTTCGAAAACTCAGGATATTCGGATATTTGCCGGGGACATATCCGGATATCCCATATCCGGATATCACAAGACCCCATATTCGGATATCCATATCCGGATATTTCGCGACATAATGTAGTTTCTGCATTTCGCGAGATATCACTCCCAATGTTTCATTTTTAACACTTTTAAACGTTAAAGCATGCATCTTTAAACGCTTCTAGGTCAGTTATCACGTTGGTTACTTGTTTAACTTATTAAACATGCCAAGACTCCATTTTTAACCATTAAAACTCATGATTAAGGTTGGTGAAGCTTACCCAAGGTTCAAAACTCAGAAAAGGTTTCTCTTGGAGCTCACCACACAGCTGCAAGGTTCTGTCTCCCAAGGTACACGAAAATGACAAGCAAGTAAGGTGTTTTTTCACCAAAGGTGGCTCCTTGAAGCTCAACAAGCAAGGAACAAAGGCTTCCCAACACTCAAACCAACAAGTCAGCCCCTACACCTCACACTCAGAAGCTGGAACTCAGAAAAAGGAATTCTCATCCACTCACAAGACCACTTCACATTATCTCAAGGTGCAAAGGTGAAGGTTTAATGGATGAAAATGTCTCTTTGCTCACAAAAATGGAGGAGAAGAGAAGGTGACAAGCTTGGGAGACAACCAGCTTCAAAAAAGAGGCGCAACATGCAATAAAATCTGACCTAGGGACATGTGCCCTCATATTTATAGGGGTATCAATTTTAATCACACTGTATTAACGCTAATAGCTACGCTTAGCATTTTAATCCCAAACTTAAGATTATGAAGCTACACATTTTTCTAAGATTTTTCATATTTTTATTTTATTTTTCGCAGTACCTTTGCGGTACGCGCTTTTACATAGCCAGTATAAGTTCTGGCATCAGTTCTCATTATTTTAACCTGAAACTTGTTTTACAAGTCCTATATATTATTCTAGGAATATTCCCACACTTATTATAATTTTCCGGGATACTTCATCGGTACACATTTATAACGAGTAGAAGAACCGGTATCTGCACTTTTCGTCCGAAAAGCGACTTTCGGTATTCTTATTAACTTACCATAATTATTTAAGCCTTATCATAATTATTAGGGTCAATTATGAAATTGTTTCCTAATATCTCATAACTAATAAATTACTTTCCTTAATTAACGGTGCAGGTCCTTACACATAGTCACTAAGGAAGAATAACCTGCAAGGCAGATCAACGATTGGCAAGAGAAAAAGAGAGAGAAATCATCCTTGTGAAGGAAAACTGTAATAAGTCATCACACTAGAGGGTAAGATAATTTGAGTACATTGATTTGGTTCCTATACCAGAGAAATAGTCTTGGAATCTCTTTTGAGTTTTTTTTTTTACCTTTGGCCTCGTGGTTTTTACTCCTAATGTTGAGGAGGTTTTTCCATGTTAAAATTGTTGCGTGTTCTCTCTTTTGATATTCATCTTTGTTTCCTTTGTGTTTTCTATTTGCTTTTCGCTTCTACATTCTTCATTGAGATTAAACTTCTTACCCAACAATGATGGTATCAAAGCTCTTTGATCAAGGGCTACGAGGTCAAAGATAAAGAGTATCTCTCTCATGAGGGTGACATGTTTAAGCTCACTATATAGAATTATTCATACCTTAAGCCCTTGATGGAGGACCACCTTCATTGCAAAGACTTGTATAAATCAATCTTGAGTGCCAACAAGCCA